GCACACGAGCGACGCTAGTTACGCTGGGAGCATCGCCGTGAAATATAATGACAGTCGCTTTAGAACCGTCACAAAAAGCCAGTCTGGTCTAATCTACGGTAATAATTTTTTTCTCGTTACCAAGCAGTTTGGGTAAATTTTTTCAGCGCGTCAACCGTGTCGCGTTAACTTCTTCCCGATCGAGCAACTCTTCAATTTAACTCAGTCTCATTAGCGAAATACTTCAGCCTAACTGCTTGCTAAACAGATTTTAATGATGAACTAGTTCAGCTGCATTTTATAATTTTAAGAACTCATTGAAAAATATTATAATAACGAATAAATATTAGCTATACTGCTGTAAATTTAGATGCGGAATAGATTAATATTTATCAGGACTTTTAAAAAGATGAAAAAATTTACAATTCTTATTCAATCTTATCAGAACATTATTTCATTATTCTATATGAAAATGGAACGTCACCGCAGCTACTTCTGTCCTCTATTTTTCAATTTTAAAGCGCACGAAGTTCATCGCGTGCCGCTCGACTCCAGCCCCTGACCAGGAAAATAAATTCACCCTCGCGTAGGTAAAAAAAAAAAGAACCGCGTTGTCCCGGGATCGTAATAAAATCCGCGGGATGAGTTATCGCGCGCGGAGTTACAGTGAAATAAACTCGCGACGTTATTCGTCGGAAGAGACTGGATGGAACCTAATACGACCAGAGTCGAGCCCGCGCAGCTTGCGGCAATTTCAGGCTCAACTTTTCCCACAGGATTCTCGTTCCCCGCTAAGAAGGGACAATTTGTCAAAGGAAATAAATTACAGATTCACTTTCGAATGCGGCGGACAAGCTGTTCTAGATTCATTAAGTATTTAATCTAACGTTTTAATTGTATTCTCTGCAGATTAAATTTTCGCTTACAATAGAGTTAGTCACAGGAGCCAACATTTTATCCATTATACAAACCGTGTTTCATTTCTGAACGCGCCGTTTTAATAGGAAACAGAATTTTTCAACAAACGATAGAAGCGCTTTAACTACTCGCTGTTTTCATCGTTTGGAACGCAGAAAGATCGTTAAAATTTCATTGCTTCCGTTATTAGTTATGCTCGTTCCTGACTGGCGAACGATACGAGGAAACGGTCGGACGTATATCGCGACCGCTATGACGGCTAATAAAATTATTAGTCAGACCGACACAAAGGACGGACGGTTGAATGGTTGTATTAAACGTTCGCGCTCGAGTTTCGTGCGCTTTACGGGAAATGAATTTTACCTGCTTTATGTCTGCTCGCCGAACAGGATAGCAGAGCAGGCTACTTAAATTTTGCATCAATATTCGCTCTATACACTACGCGTTTCCGTTCTCTTGCCCGTTCCGTTATAAAACATAGATAAGGATAATATTAAGCCCGGGCGAAATTACTGAAAGCGCTTTTGTATGCATGACGAGGACTGCTTAAAATTCATGTGTCAAAAATTATTCTACCGTTTTCTGAAAAAATTTCGAACGATTTATGCTGATCCTATCAAAAGCTCCTTCCGTCATTCGTGTTCTCTCGACTTACAGAATTTCACGGAACACTAAACACGTTTAGGATATCGTGTCTCGCACGATGATCACATTTCTTTTTTTCGCACGATCGGCACAATGCTCGGAATGGTTGCCGACGTGAAAGAAGAGATTCGCAAGCAGGCTTCTTCTCCGTAGCGAGGCTTGCGAAAATGATAAGCGAAAAGCCTCGATCGAATGCGTAACTTCCGCGCTATAAGGAGCCACGTAAAAACGGGCTGATAAAGAACGTATGGCCTTATGATCATGCTCGTATCGCGAAACGACCACCCGAGGAATATCCTATCGTACGGGATAAGAGACACGTAGGTACGCACGTGCACGCGTCATACTCGAGCGCGGAAGAATTCTTTCTAACATTACTGTTATGTTATAATATAATGCATCCTAGCGAAAGATGTTTCAGACTAAAATTGTATCTTTAGCTGTCAGCCAGAAATATAACCGACTGCAAGATTTCTCTTACTTCCCTATCAGTGAAATTATCGATTTCGTAAATGACGGAGGTCCTCCCTAAAAGATTCCAGAACGATGCAAATTACGCGTTCCGTCACGATAAAGGGGGGAGGCACATTTTATGGCGGTAACGAGCCGTAGATATTCCGCGTAGGCAACCGGCGAAGAATGTCTGAAAGAGGAAAATGACCGAAAGACGTTACGCCGACCGGCGCCCCATGGCATGCTTCGGAGTCGTTCCGATGCTTCGCGAGATGATTGATTAAATTTCTACGGAGCCACGTTGCTGTAATTGAAAGCAAGACCCGACTGCTCGCGATTTTTACGCGTAAATCAGAGAGGCTGGCTCGGCTCCTTCCTTCGAGACGCCACGTGTTACACTCAGAGATGATACCGGATAGCCATGAGCGAGTAAGCGTACAATTTTATTAGTACACGCTCCCCTTCATTATTTATGTACACTGTTAAACGATAAAATTCACAATGTGTAAAAATCTTCTATAAATTCTTACAGCGATTATTATACAAGGGCTGAGACAATGATTTGAAAAACAAATGTTGTGTACTTAATTTGATGAATACAATGTAACTTATTCTATATTTTGTAAAGGATCGGGTCATTTTAATGAAAATTATTCTTAATAGAATTTTAAAGCTCGAAGAATTTTGCGCTACAAAACGTGCATCAACAAGTTCATACGTTCGCGCGGTGTTCGGAAAAGCGTATAAAGGTCTTGCAGCAATGAGACAGGCATTCGGAACGAATTTCATTTCAGCGATCTTAAATTTGCTGAAACATTAAACGGAACGTTTATCGAGTCTCGTTACACGTCCAACGATATACGAAAACGTCATAAAATCACGTCTTTCACTTTGTAAGTGGGAAACGAAACGCGAACGAAAGTTCGAGGAATAATTAACGAAAAGCGGAAAGTGAGAGAGTAGAAGGTCGCGAACGAGGAGTAAGAAGAAAGGATCAAGAGCGGAGATTATTGCACCGCGGTAATGACACTAGTAATTCCGAGTATACATTAATTAAGCCGCGTATAGTGATACGCACGTCGCAAACGAATTTCTGTGTTCCACTTTACCAAAGTGGTTTCGCCTCTTAATAAAATATGCAACGGAATTTGGAAACTATTCGCAATTTATTGTAATTAAGCATTATATCAAGCCATTATAAATCCTCATGAAGTACTATTAAATATAAATTTTAATATAGATGCTATTTATCTAATACCTATGCAAATTACAGATTAACAAATTAAAGTTTATACGTAATGTATGAAAATATCCACGATATTAAAGGTTCACTCTGGGAAACGTCATAAACACACTTCTGTGAAATAAATCTGCTGACGCAAGGAGGGCAAGGATTTTTTCCCGGAGCTAAGCAATGCGGGAGAGAAGAGATGGCTGGAGCTGGTTCAAAAGATAGCAGATAAAGCGCGTGGGGTAGGTGCGAGAGACGCTGCAGTTGCAGCTGCCGCAGAATCGCCGTAGGGGACGACAGGCTGGACGTGACCGGTGATTCGAGTTACGAACGAAACCTTGGATCACGTTCGACGAACCTCGAATTTTCTACGGCTCGCTTATGAGACGCCCGTCCCCGCGGCGCTGTGGAAACACGCTTGGGAAATAGGTATTACGCCCGTCGCTTTTGGATTCGAGGTACACTTTTACGATGCGCTCGCTGGGAATAGTGAAAGAGTTAAGAGAGAGAAATCAGCGATGATCGAGTTATTGCCCCGACTGGAGTGTATCGAACGATTTTCACGGTCGAATACAAAGTTTTCATGTTAGACAGTTGATCGGAGTTTTCCGATAATTCTCTGTGGTGGTTTCAAGAATTTTCAGAGTTGATCATAAACGTTCGTTATGTATTTGACGTGAAAGACGAAAATTTTAAGGATCGTTTTATTGGAAGTTTGCTAACAGATGCCTTTCCCAATTTGTCCAGGGACGGTGTAACAGAGGACGTCGATTTTTAACATTTCGTGGAAGCCGAGCAAATATTTGTGTTAGAGAGACGGTCGGAGCCACTGAATTCGTCGGAGAACACGGTCGGTTCGTTTGCCTTTTTATGCAGTCCGTTCGGCTCGATTAATCGTTTAACGAGACCAAAAGTTGTGTAGTCAACATTTTCGCTTACAAATTTACATTTACTTATTTAAATAAATGAAAACGGTATACTTTTCCTTTTATAAACTTCACAGAGAAATGGTAATATATTTTCATATTAAACAACGAGCAGGAAAAGTTATATTGGAAATGAAATTCCAATTTCAACTTTGTCGACATATTTTCATATTATACAAATAATGGATCTTTCGTAAAACTTCTATTACTGTTACCAATATTTTCGTCCACTCTGAACGACAATTTAGTCTCTTAAGAATTATTAAATCCTCCCACCTGAACAGACCATTCACGTTCAAGTTTAGCCATAACTCTAATTTATACCCGTAAAACCTTTTTATGGACAACGGGATCGTTTCGTCTGGATGAATCTCAATCTCAACCGATCGTTGCGTAGCCACGAAGTCATCGCATACGGTATAATAAAAGGCCGGAAATTGCTTTTCATCGCGCACCCTCTTTCTCGATCCAGAAAACTTGTTAGTCTCAACTGTTTCATGAAAAATCCTGTTCGCACCGGGAGCGTTCGACTCGATGGAGATAGATAAGATACAAAAAACCGTGGCCATTTTCCGGGAGAAAAACAGGACCACGATGAAGCGTTCCTTTTGTCCACCGTTGGCTCATTCACGAACGAGTAGAGGAAAGGGTGGAACGTTGGGAGAACTGGCCTACATACGAGACAAGGGGGTGAACAAAAGTGGACGTTCGATTTTTCGTCGGAGAGAAGGAAACCCGTTTCTTAGGACGACGCGACATCACGGCTGCGGAAATTGCATCCAGACGGGACGATAAACATCCACACCCTTCTCACGAGGGGGTGGTTACGAAAGAGTATAATAGCTCACCTTCTAGGTTCGCCATAGAGAACCTGTAACTATCGATCCTCGGCGTGTTGATGTCCGAGTTGAAAGGCCTGAGGGTCGCCGAGCTCACATTGTCCAGACCCTGGAACATCAATTTACAGAAGCGTTAATAATTGTGTTACCTTAAATGCAGATCATTGAACAATGAAATCCTCAAATGATTTCTTGTGACAGTGGTCAAATATTTTTTATATTATTAATTACACAGTAAATCAAGAACGGTTCCAACGGCGAAGAACATTAATTTCCAGCGAGGGAGTATGGGTGCGTTTCTCAAGCCACTGTCAACTGCACACTTAATCCTTGATGAAGTGCACGAAACCTTTCGCGGCTTTCAACCGTGGCTGCCACCGAAATAAATCATTTACCACCCCAGAAAACGGTGTCGATAACCGGGCACGTACCAACAAGGAAACAGCACCACCCGTGCCGCGAGAACGAATCCCCAGCAACGGAAACACGGGCGAGAACGCGAGCTGAATTCACTACCCACGTTCCTCTCACGTGCCGCAACACGGTCGGATCGGTAATCCGCACGAGATCCTTTTACGTCGCCGGCTCGAGTGGAAATGCGATTTGAGCGAGACGGTGTGTCCCCGCGTCGTGTGTGCGTCGGTCTCACCCAATTTCCTACGATGATTTCGCGTTAGTAGTCGATCAATTCCGTCGCGAGACAGCTCCGCGAAATTTTGAACGCGTTTGTCGCGTTCCGAACGGAATAGGTAGTAGGCGACTCGCCTCGTGAGCAAAATGCAGTAACGGGTGCAGTTACATTGCATATATATTTAGGTGAGGTTGGAAAAGGGAGAAACTGGAAGACTTCCAGGCTGTTCGATTGTTTTGCAGCCGCGTGCATGCAATGATAACGACCAGCGACGACGACGACGACGACGACGACGACGACGAGAATGCTTGCCGCCTGTACTTGGAAAGTGGCAAAACTTGCCTCTTAGGGGTTGCTTACGCAATAGCAGCTTGTGTTTCCAATAAACCGGGTTTAGAGTAATATTATCTAAAGCTCTGTCGCGGAATGAAAAGGGTTTTAACGTTTCTACGTGCATAAAGATAATAAATGACATAATCGTTTTCCTAATGGAAGTAATTATCCTTTACAACGTTTCATGCTCCTTTCATCATTAGCAACTTCCATTAATATAATAATTTAGTCGAACGCTTGAGACCTACTTTCAGTAGATCTAATCTTGGGATCGGTTTCGAAAAATTCCGCTCGGTCACAGAGGAGAGAGGTCGTCCAGTATGATCGGTTCTCTCTCGCGGTGTCGCACAGCCAGCGGACTTCCGCGTTTTGAGCTATTAGCCGTAAATAATGCGAGAACCGAGTTGCCCGCTCGGCCGTGTGTGTACACGCGGCGGCGGCGGCGGCGGCGGAGTCGGCGTTTCTACAGCGGTTAATCAAGCAACAGCTCCACACGGTGAACACACAATGCCTTCGGCCCCGTCACACCGGCACATGGAAAACGGGGCGAAACGTTCCAGCGCAGCGCGCAGGAGAAAACTGGGTTCGCCGTGTGTACACGTTTTGCCACGGCCGATAGATCGCCCCCTCGCCACTCTTCCCTCTTCGCGACCTCGCTCTCTTTGGCTCGTTGTGTATGCGACACCGGAGGGCACACGAGATCCCACGGGACACAGCATCGTTGATTCCTCGATGGCTGAGCGACTGGAAACCCGTGGTTACGAGAAACCGATGGGGGTGAAACTGCTGTCAAACTGCTTGGAATACGTGATGATGCCTCGCGTGAATGTAATAAGTGACAGAGCTTTCTTATTCTTTCCACCATTTTCACAGAAGCAATTCTTGTACTTTCCATCAGATCAATAAATAATTCAATATTAATTGATAATTTGTACATTAGAGAATAACTGAATCTAATTACATAAAGAGAAGCAAGGTAGATGCAATTCATCTTACGCTTAGTTCACGTTAGATGGATTCACCTAATACGTATTGGGAATGCAGCGATAATAAGTCACGTCGAGTTTCTCTATCTGGCAACGTCATGGATCATTGATCGCGAATTTCAGATCCCCAGATTAATTAGCTGACCGAACAGAAGCCGACGAACCATTAATATCGTTACGCCACTACGTCTTCGTACCGCTTACGCACGATACATTCTATAATGTTCCTTTTTAAACGTTTCAACGATGATCTTCGTAAACACACGATTCATCTAATATCGATCGCGTTTTACAACAGAAATTGGAAAAATGATACAAAAACACTGTTAATTTTCGAGCTCGCTGAAGTGCATCAAGCTCGATAAATCGCGTAGGGCTTACATGCTCGAGAACAGAGAGAGGGACGAGGGCATTACATCGATTGCTTCTCCCGGTCTCGACCGACAGTACAGCGCATTGCAGTGCACTGCGGCGCGGTGTGGGTGTGAACGTGGTGAACGACCCGGTAACCACCATTCGGCCAACAGGCACAACAATTAGATTCGACCGGATAAGCCGGCTCTTCCTGTAACGCGAAACTCGTGGACGGTTACTTACAGTACTTACGTACCTTCGTACGTCGTATCTCGCGCGAGCATTGTCACGGATATTTAGCCGTGTTATTGACGCGGTGTACACGCGGCCAGATACCATGTCGCGATAACGAATTTCACCGCGCGAGCAATTCTGCATGCGTACTACTCGGCCGGCACGCAGTTAACTCGAGAGGAGTTAATCGATCCGCGAAAAGAGCGCGTGGGAGTGGAGCAACGGAATCGTTTGATTCGAATCTTATCCGACGGTTACCGAGCTCGGAACGATCGAGGGAATCGAGTTTCTGGACGAATCTAGGGTACATACCGTTCGAGCTGGTTTTCATTTATTCAGCCTTTCGAGTGTCTAATGTTTCATCATAATAGTTGATTTTGGAATTAATAAATTGTACAGTTTATTCCACTTTCTCTATACCCCTTATCTTATTATTGCAGATACGTCAATAATCGCTAGTTCGTTAGCGAAGAAATCCTATCGATGACACAATTACGAAGTAAAAGAAACATGTTACTTAGGAATGTGATACACAATACTTCAGTATAGTACGTAACGATACTTTATCACACTCAGTGAGTAATAATCTCGGTTGAGAACAAACAATTGTCCTGCCCTCGAGAGGCAACGAAAAACTCCCCGGAGACGTTCTCCACCGATGATGAAATAATTCGTGCTCGGTGAGGGGTGTACCCGGTTTAAATTTTTCATGGCCACGAGGTAGCGGGTCTCTTCCGGTCGGCGGCACGCGAGTGAAAAGAGCAGAAAGCTCGCACTCGCCGAGTGTCGGTTTACCCGCGGAAAGAGGTGAGTTTGCTCTCGACTTTCGAGTCGACTACGCTTTCTCGGGTCTTTCACGCTGCCCTCAAGAGGGCTCGTGCGCGCTTTTCCCTCGGTCGAAAGCCAAAGGAAAAGACTCGCTGCCGCCAATTTATTCCCCGCAAGACTTCCGAGCTTTATTGCCGACGATAAAAGCTCGCGCTACGGTTCGAGCCACGATTCCCGATTCAAACCCGCTTGTGCTTGTTTCCCCGGACACGGAAACGCGGTACTTCCGCGAGGAGATCTCGCGAAGAAACGAGCGTAATGTTCTGCAAATAGCGCGGGGAAACAGCTGGAAAGTACGATTAAAAGCAGTTTGAAATGTATGTTCGCGATAATAGTACCCAGTGAAAGTCTTTTAAAATTCTGTTTCCCGCTTGGGAAAACGTCACGCCTATTACTTATATTAAAAGGAAATGTTAATTTCTCTTTTACTACGATGAGATCGTTTTACGACGAAGTTCTAAAATGCAACGTAACGATAGTTTCTACTCCATAAATTCCCTTCTAATTGCAACGTGTCCTCATCAATATTAACAAAGCCGGATTTCCATGCCAATACCGTTCTGTACTGTGATTAATCGAAACGGACGCAGTGAATGGAGGCACGAAAGCCATCGCTGATATTGGAGATATCGCATTCATCACGCTCCACGGAATATTTCGGTGCATCGGTTGCCAAGCTTAAGTAAGAAACATGTCTGCCGCGGGGGAGGATGGCTGGTAATATCGTCAGGAAATCAGCCTGTCACCCGTATATAAGGGGGAAGAAACGATTCCGAAAAAATGCAGGTGTCACCCGCATCCGACTGACGTGCCAGCCAATGTATTAAACGTCTTTAACTGTCCTCGTTGATGTCCGATACGAGAAGAAAGTGGCCCTAACACTTCTTATCCCCTCTAACACTCCTACGCCGAGGAAAACTTACAGAAGGTTCGACCGTATCCGGGAGATCGAGGAATTCCGGTTCACCCGACACTAGATAGGATTAAGGGGTTGAGTAAGAGAGGAATCACGTTTCGAGGAAAAGTCTCACGGAGAACGTTAGAATTCGCCGGCGACGGAGAAAAAAATACTGCCGGAGTCTCTCTAATCCTCTTCTTGGCTTCGAAGGCACTGGCCTTGGCTCAGGAGAAAAATACGTGATTTGTCTACGTCCGTACGCGTTCCAACCCCTTTACCGTTCACTGTCGCAACAGTATTTTGTGCCAAGATGCTCGACGTTCTCCCGAGTAACGAAATTCACCCTGATAAATGCAGCCTCCTGAGACGTTTTCGGAAATATATTACCTATCTTGTCGAATATACATTTCCTGATAATTAAAAGTGATTCATGCAAAACCTAGACATTTTTCTTTGAGTTTCCTAGTAATAATTAAAATAATTTATAATTCTTAATCGTTATTATAAAATGAAAAATATAGAGGGGGGAAGTCTTATTAAATACCTTCCTAACGAACTTCAAAGTTATTTTCATGTATTAAGAGACAGACATTCTTAATATAAGATCAAGCGATCGGTATCCGAATAGCTAAACGATTAATTATTGCAAGGTTTCACCTTCTCTAGTCGAGGACTGCGCACCGACAGAAAGTATCTCGTTCATTGAGGCCGACTACCCGCGAGATGGTCAAGTATTACGCGTAAGCGAGTGTTTTAAACGCGGAAACCGGTTCGTGTAGCATAAACCTAGCATGCACGTACGAGGGCAGGAACTCGCGGGGAGTTACAATTTCTTGGAATCCGTT